ACAATAGATGACTGAATGTTTCAAAGTGAGACTTGGGGTGGAGGCAGTACATCACAATCCACAGTAGCCTTGTGCCTGTGAGGTTGGTATGGAGGCTGAGGAAAGTGAACCCTGCTAGTCAAGTCTAAGTGCTAAGCAAATGCTCTTCCCAAAGTATCACCACACAGTGATACTTCCGCTCTATATAGGGGACAGTAGGCATAACAATCTAGTTGTGCACTGCAAGCAAGATTTGGTGTTTTTTGGATCTGGAATGAGGTAAAATTGTTCAGAATTTCAATCAAGTGTGCATTGAAGTGTAGCCGTTTGGGACAGGGACCAAAATTTTTTTTTTTTTTTTTTTTCTTTTTCTTTTTGGTACTGGGGATCGAACTCATGACCTTGCCAGGCAGGCACTTAAGCCACTGAGCTAAATCCCCAGCTAGAATATTTTTTGACAGAAAAATATTTTTTGTCAACCAAGATCCTTCCTAGGACTTGTCTGGGAAAAAAATGGGAAGTTTTTCACATCTATATTTTGGTAAGTAATAGCGGAAATAGATATTTTTTGCTCTTGGTCTCTTGAGCTCCACTTTTAAATCTAGAAAGTGCATTTCTGGGCTGTACAAGAAGCATTACCTAGGAGTTTGGTTTCCTGGGTTCCTTTTATCTGCGCCCCTGCAATGCAGTGGGGGCCTACCCTGGTCTCCAGTTTCTGCCTAGAGCTACTACAGCCAACAGAACTGCTAATCACTGAGCTGTGAATAATTTGCTTTTGAGAAGTAAATAGAACCTTGCCTGTAGAGAACTTAGGGGTGTGGCCAATAGTTCTTTTCCCAGGCTCCTCCCTTCTCACCCCCCAAATGACCTTAACCTTCTCCCATAGCTGGACAGCAGCCAAGTCTAGCCTAAACAATACACTCAACCTCATTGGCTCTTTCGCCTTGCAACCACTGCCACCCCCAAATGGCTAAGGCCTTCCCACCAGGCTTCCCAGTAGAATCAAGGTTTTCTATTAAAAAACAAACACTGAAGAAAGGGTGAAAAGTGTTTATGGTCTTTGAAGCATCAGTGTTGGCTCCCACGACTAGAGGCATGATGAGGTCTTTGACCTGGAGTGGATGGACATAGTCAAGTGGTCCAGCAGAAGTCAAAAATGTAAATGTACAAGACTGGTATGACCCCAGATGTCAGGATGACTATGTCACCCAGACACAATGTGGAAGCTGCCAATGAATATGCTTTTACTTTAATAGAAGTAGCATAAAGTTCTGGTGAGTCAACCCTGCCTTTTAACACTTGATAGTGACAGGATTCGGGCCACTCTTGTCACTTGCCCCACAGTGGAAGCCAGCATTTTAGACCAGCGTATCAGGGTAAATCAACCCAGGGCTGGGGCGGGGGGGGGGGGGGGGTAGCTCAGCAGTGTAAGTACCTGTTTGGCAAACACAAGGCTGTGAGTTCAAACTCCAGCACCAAAAAAACAAAACTCCAGTCCATGGATAGGGGTTGTGGGAAGTTTAGTGTCAAGAAACTGAGCTACTAGGGCGTCAATATATATCCACCCTGAGGCCAAGACCATCTCCAGATGTGGAGTCAGGAGCAAGCAAAGCAGCTAGAGAGGAATAAGTTGACAAATCCCTAACTTCCTCTACTTCTTCAGCAGAAAGATTGCTCGATTTCTTGGTTAGGGAGTTGTAACAGCCCATCTTTATTGAAAACTTTTTTTCAAAAAAAGAAAAAAGAAAAAAGAAAACTTTTTTTCATTGCATAGTGCAGGCTGGCCTAGAACTCAGTATGTAGCTCAGAATGGCCTCAAAACTGATGGCAATCCTTCTGCCTCTGTGCTGAGATTGCAGGCATGCACCGCCACCATCCCTGGCCTGTTGAGTACTTTTTAACAAACCCTACAAATCCTGTGAGGTAGATATCTCCATGAGGGCAAGGACTATGTCTGTCTTGCTCAGTGGTGTATTGTTACCCCTTGTCACATAGTAGATACACCAATAATGTTGAAATCAAGTAGGTTAGATGGGAATTTGTGGGGCTAGGGATTTAGCTCAGCGGCATAAGTGCCTGCCTTGCAAGCAGGCAGTCGTGAGTTCAATCCCCTGTACCGATTAAAAAAAAAAAAAAAAAAAAAGATGGGAATTTGCCTGGGGCGAAGATTAAGCAGGAGAAGGAAGCAGTAATGGTAAGATTTGGAATGCCCCATATAGGAGTCTTAGCATAGGATTTTTAGTAGACTCTTTAGCTGTGTGGGGTAAAAAGAAGAGAGGGAAAGGAGTAAACTTGGGAAAAATTAAAATAATGTAGAGCAATAGAACCAGCCCAGGAGAGCTGGGTGTAGTATGTTCCCCTGTAATTCCAGCACTCAGGAGACTGAGCCTGGGATACATATTGAGATCAAGACCAGTCTGAACTATGTATTCAAGACCCTCTCAAATTCAAAACAAAATAAAACAACCCAAACCACCATCCCAGTAGGCTAGAGATCTGAATTCAAGTCCCATATCTGCCACTCACTGTATGATTTAGTCTAGTCATTTTCACTTTGCAAGGTTTAGTTCTCTCATCCATAAAAAATAGGTATCAAGTTAAATCCAATTATTCACTAGATCTGAAGAGATACAATCTTCAAGGCCCTGTCCTAAGCACTGGGAATATACTGCTGAGCAAGTGTCCTGCTCTTCCATTTTATCAAGAAGCTTATGCTCCAATAGAGAGAAAAGACAGTGAACAACTGAAATTCACAATAGGATAAGCAAATGGTGTTCAATGCTATGTAGAAAATAGGAGAGTGATGGGCTAACACAGGGAGGTACTTATGGCTGGGTAATCAGAGAAACCTGCACTGAGCAGGTGATACCAAGACTCAAATAGAGTGGGCTGGCCTAGAGGTAGAATGTTTTTTTTTTTTTTTTCTTTTCTTTTCTTTTCTTTTTGTTTTTTGGTAGACTGTTTCAAACAGGAGTAATAGCAAGAGCAGAGCCATGCGAGTTCAGGGAACAGAAATGATGTAACCTTTTTGAATTCTAGGATCAGTGGTACACTGCTTTGTTTAGAGATTTGTATTATGAGACTATCTCTTGGTGGTCTGGGATATCTGGTCTTAATGGAAGTGGCTGGGAGGTGTAGAGTTTGAAGTCCTGAGGTAAGGCTGTCTCGCTTACTTTTCACAGATCCTAGTAGCTCAGCTGGCTCCTTATATTGATGCAGCCTCCATTTTGGCTGCCTCTAAAAGCCTACTGAGGAGAGCTGCCACTTTCACCTCTCATAACTGTAGAGCCCCGGATCCCTTCCATTCCCACCTAGCCACCTTTGAACCTGAAGAGCCACCGGTGCTAGAGTTTTGAGAACACAAAATTCAGCCTCCTTGTTTTCCTGTCGGAGCAGGAGCCAGAAAATGAAACAGGAAACAGAGCGGAAGAGGTGGGGGGTTGGGTAGCAAAGAAGGAAAAAAAGAGAAATTGCAGGAAAGTGGAGCTGAAGATCTGTCCAAAGTCTTACCTCTAGAATAGTGACAGTTGAGATTTTAGAAAACATTGACTTGTCACAAAACATCCCTGCCTTTTTACACACAGATTTTTGAGGGAATCGTGTGCACAGAACCCTGAGAATACATGGGTTTTTTTTTCCTTTGTAAATTCGCAGTACAAGGACAATGCATTTCTCAATTTTATCTCTGTAAATAAGAGTGCTGCTTGGAGCCACATAAACTTCTGGAGATTCAAGTCACAACCTTGGGTCCCAGTCACAAGAGTGCCCAGAGACTTTGCCATTTTACTCACAGGCCTCTGGAGTTGAAAAAATGCATGCCATTGAAAAACCCAGGAGGAGAGGCCCTCTAAACTTCATTTTATCCCTTTACCACAAGACCACTAAAACGTGCTTTGTGTCTTATTCAATTTACACACAGCAAACACCTGGGAAGCAGTTTAGGTGTTGGGTCCTGAAAGGCGTCATAAAGAATCCACAGACACAGTCTCCCTACCCCCACCCCCAAATGGGGCAGTTTTCTTTGCTTGGAGAGATAGCAGCCATCTCTTTGTTCCCACCCGCATTAGTGACGGTTAGAGAAGATAAACCCCTCCCTCAGGTAAGGCTGCAGCCAAAGGGTAACCCAGAGCCTAGCTTCGTTTTGGAACGCAGATAACTGAAACCACAGGCGGCTTTGGAATCCTGAGAAACGCGAAATCCACCAACGGAGAAGGATTTATTATCTGTTTCCTTTAAGGAGAGTGCAAACCTGTTCTTAACAGTTTCCGTTACAGGGCACCAACTGGCCGCGCCTCCCTAACAGACGGTTTTTTGGAGTTAGCTTCCTTTTATTTGGTCTTATTTCCTATGACAGAAACTGCTTGAGTGAGGGGAGAAAGGAGTCCTGGGGGAGTCTCTGAGGTTTCTTTTCCCGTCCTCCTGAGCCACCTGAGACGGGTCTAAGGACTGCAACAAGATAAGGTTCCTGGTAGCTATGAGGGGAAAGTCAAGGGGATCCCCCACTTTCTTCACACTCAGGATGCAGGGTGCCACTGGTGGCCACAGAAACCCCAAAAAGGCTTTTGATTGTTCAGAAAAAAACCTATTGTGTGTCAGGCCCTGTGCTGAGCTGTTGTTGCCTGACAGTAGGGAATGTGAGACTTTTACTTCTGTGAAGAGGCAGCGGGGCAGCCCTCAAGTATAACAGCCAAGACCCTTGGGAACTCAGTGAAAGGAGCAAGATGGGACTGGCAAGAGAACTGACTCTTAGACTATAGCCTCAGCAATTTGAAGGTGAGGGAGGGGGCTGGGAGAAAGGCAAAGTGCTAGAAAAAATTCCTCAGGTGACACCAAGATGCTCGACAGAGCTGTGAAGGGCAGTGCTGAGCCGTGGTACCCGCCCCGCTCGCTCGGAGTCAACATGGCCGCCACGGGGGGGGGGGGGACGAACAACTGGGAGTTCGGGCAGGAGCGGGGTGGAGCCGCCGTCGGCGGAACCAGCGCGCAGGCGTGGGCAGCTCAGTCCCCGGATGGAGGTGCTGCGGATCGGTTCTCGCCGAGGCAGTTGGGGTGGATCAGCACAGAAGACTGGGGCACAAGTTCTCTAGCCTTGGAGTTCTGGGAGGGAAGAAATCTATCAAACGGAGGCCTAGAGAAATGAGACGGAGGCTGTGGAGAAGCGTGGAGCCCCGCCTCTCCGCCATAACGTCTTTGGGCACCGCCTCTTCCTTTACGGCCTCCCGCCCTCGCCTGCTTCCGGCCCTGTTTCCAGTCTGGACTCCGGCGACTCCCTCGGGAGTATCTCGTGGGCCGTGCTTCCTTTGGGATGAGAATCGGGGCTCTGGCCCCGATAGGGACCGTCCAAAAGAAGCAGGCTAGCACGGGGTCCAGACACGGCCTGGCGGGCCGAAGGCGACTTCTGGCTCGAGACGGCCCGCGAGGCCTTTGGTCCTGAGGACGCTGGGTCAGAGCGACGTCACCTCATCGAAGATGCCTTACTCAGAGGGTCTAAGGTTCTAGTTAGTAGGCTTTTCCAAATTCTCGAGGCATATTGTAAGCATACAGCAAGAGCATGCTCTCTGTCATTGGAGGAAGTACTGGGCTAGGGCTTGGACCTCGGTTATAATCCTATCTTGGGTAGAGCACATAATACCCTTCGGCTGCGGATGATGTTTCAGAGGTAGAGTATATGAGGGTCAAGTAGTCTCGGGTGTGTCACCTGATCCCAGTGAGCCTCAGTTTCCACATCCATAAAACGGCACTGGTAATTATACTGTCCTTACAGTCTCTAATGAGATCTTTGGATCCTATTTATCTCATGGGAAAATAAGAGTGAAACTAGTTGATCCGCAAATGCCTTCCCATTAAGAGAGTTTGACTTGGCAAGGGGCTTGATGAAAAGTGAGATTGGCAAATAGCTGGAAGAGAGAATTGACTGGCTTTTATTTGGTTTATCTTAAACTAAGATTGGGACACAAATCTGGTTGCTGAGGCCAGGGTTTGACTCTGGAAAGGAAGAATGCAAGTCTGGTCACGAGGCAGAGGTGGGTTAAGCACTTTTCTCTACCCAACTTCTCTTTGCATGTGGGTGGAAGCCAAGGAAGGGAAAATAGTGAATTCACCTTAGAATAGAGGATCAGTGTGTCAGGTCGAGGGTGCTTGTTTCTGTAAACATGCTGTTGATCTGCGAGTCAGATATTGGAGATAATTGGGTAGAATCACAAAATTCCAGCGCTGCCCTCTGGAGTTTTGACTTTAAACTGAATTTTCATGAGCCAAACTGCTTTGGAGTTATGGCCCCTCCCTTCCTCCTGACCTCCTGGTGATGGAATAAGCAGCAGGCGCCCCCTTGTGCCATAGAAAGAATATGGCTGCTTTATGGCCAACCTTGCTGCCTTTGGAGAAATTTATTTTCTGGGAGCTTCTGTTACTTTGTCATTTTGCTCTTTACATGAGATATGACGGGAGGAATACTTGGAGCAGAGGCTTTACATCTAGTCAGCGAACTGGTGGTGCTGTATTTTATCTCTGCCAGTTCTGTTTAAGGTGCTTGTTTGAAGCTGGGCATGGTGGCATACACCTGTAATCTCACCCACTGGGGAAACAGGCAGGAGGATTACAAGTTCAAGCCCAGTCTAGGAAATTTATCAAGAACCTGTCTCAAAAATAATGGTTTTTTTTTTTTTGTCTTTTTGAGACAGTCTGTCTATGCAGTTCAGGCTGGCCCTGAGCTCACTTTGTAGCCCAGGCTGGTCTCGAACTGGAAACGATCCTCCTGCCTCAGCCCCCTGAGTGCTGGGATTACAGGCGTGAACCACCACACCTGGCCATGTCTCATTTTTGAAAGGGCTGGGATGTGTGTAGCTCAGTGATAGAGTACATCAGTTCTCTAGTGCACACATAGAATCCTGTGGTTAATGTTACTCTCCGGGAATACAGTTATGATATGAAGCCCCTGACTACAGACAAACTAAAAAAGTGACAGCAGTCGGGGAATGATAACACCCACGTGTATTCCCAGCACTCTAGGAGGCTGATACAGGAAGATTAAAAGTTTGATCAGCCTGGATGATTTAGCAAGACCCTGCCTCAAAATAAAAAATACAAGAAAGGGCTGGGGATGTAGTTCAGTGCAAAGGCCCTGGGTTAAATCGCAGTTACTACAAAATAAGTTTTAGAGAGGCACTGGCCTGTGAGGCATGGCACATTATATTGAGAGAATACGAAAATTCCAGAAACAGCTGAAACCTAAAGATTTGGTAGGTATTGGCCAGAAAGAGGAATAAAGAGACCCCTTTACCCTCCTTAATTAAATTTTAAATTTTTATTTTTATTTATTTTTTTGAGACATGATCTCATTCTGTAGTCCAGATTGGCTTCAAACTTGCAATGATCCTTCTGCCTCCACCACCCAAGTGCTGGGATTACATGTGTGTGCCACCATGCCCCGCTTTATATTTTTTCTTTCAGGCATAGTTCAGCCCAGATCAGTGAGCTACTTCTGACACTCTTGTCATCTTCTCTAGTTTCCTAGGCTGGTGTTTCAGAGTTCTACAGGAACCGTTGCTACTGTTAACCCCAAGAATTATAAATGCCTTAAAGTGCGTTCTTTACCTCAGAGGGTCTTTCAGTTGTTTACATGTTGCTGCCACTTGAACAAAGAAATAGGAAATAAGTTTTTCTTCATCCCTTGTAGTAAACTGTTTTCATCCTAAGTTTGTTTTAGCAGTGGGAGCTGGCTGAAGTCCTGCTGAGTGGTGGTTTTCTTTTCCTTCTCCATTTAGTTTTACAGACCAGCTGAACACACAACAGAGAACTAAGCTGGCATGTGTAGTCATTATGGTCTTCCACTATGGTTCTGTGCCCCATTTTTGGGACTCTAATTTGAGAGCTAGTGTGTTATTCTGAGCATGAGAAAAATGGTATACACCAAATAATAGCGACCACAACATAGGTTTGTGTAGCACTTCATCCGTTAGGCCATTTCACCATTATGACAATTTTATGAGAGAGAGAAAAAGATATTCTGATTTTATCAGAACTGAGGCTTAAAGAGACTAAAATTTTTTTGATAGTTAAAACTTGAACCCCTGCCTTTGGTGCCTGCATAGGAGTACTCAATAGGTTTTTAAAAAATTTTCTGTTACCTTGGTTTTCTAGCTCCATACTTTTCTGTATGGAACTGAATAGGGTGCTTTCAAGTGCCATTGTGGTTCCATCTGCCCTCAAGACAAGTCTTCCTGCCTCTGGGAAGTTAGGTGGTTAAGCTTGCCATAATGATGCTGAAGGGCTGGTGCTCCCTATGAAGAATGTTTTCAACCATTTACTTTTAGCCTATGTGTGATATTTTGCTTCTTGGGTTTTGGAGTTTAGAGATACAAGGAAGATCTAGTAACAGAACACCTGAATTCCTAGTGGTGAGGCAATGTGGCCCTTGGATCCGTCCCGGAAAGAGGTGGTGAGATTTGCTATCAGCTGCCGTGTCCTGACTCTGATACTACAGGTCAGTCTCATGTCCTTTACCTTGAGTGTACTTTTGCTACATGACTGGGCCAGGCACAGAGATTAGTTTCTATCCTTTCTGCCTCCCAGGTGTTCCCCTCCATGTGGAAAGTTATAAAGATATGCTTTATAGTAAAAAAGTAGACAGCAATCTTAGAAATAGTATTAATCCTATTTTACAGATGAAAAAGCACAGACCAGAAAGGTAAAACAACTTCCCACAGTTATCCAGCAAATTAGAGAAGGGCCAAGGTTAGACCCCAGGTTTATTTCACAAGGTAGTCCTCTTTCTAACAGACTTTAATGATTTATTTGATGGTCTTTCCAGCATTGATGATTTTAAGATGTGACAGCTGAAAGTAGACAGAACATGGTGTCAGCCAGGTGAGGGAAAAAGGTGACACTGCGCAAGTTCTGAGACCACCTATGTATATTTATTTATCAGTAATGACTTCTCTTTGCCCAAGTGTCTCCCCTTGTTGCCTCACCCACAGACACTTCTTAGTGCATCTGCCCTTTTGCAACTCCAGTGACTGCCGCTGATACATACTTTAATCAAATTTCACAAATATATAAAAAAGTATATGTATATAGTGAATTATTCGGTGTCTAACACAGTGTCCAGTGCTTGGTGGTCCTCAGCATATTCTCATAAGTGAGTAAATATTGTTGAATGTGTGCCAACACTCCAGAGATATTATATTTAACATTAATATATGTGCTTTTTATATCACCACTGCTATTCTCTGAGGCTCCAGGCTGATTCCTTGTTGGAAAGCTCTTTAACTTTCCCCTCCCAGGCTCTGCTGGGCTCCACATTGAGTTAAAGTGATGGGGGAGGGGGGTGTTTGTGTGTGTTGGTACCAGGAATCAAACTCAGGACCTTGTACTTGCCAGGCAGCTGATGTTAATTAAAATATTTTTAGCTTGCAGTACAGGGCCGCTTTCTGTGACTGTCACTCCTATCCCATTTGTTTACAGTGTTTGATGTGGCCTGATTTAAAAAGTCTGATGAAAAAGAGAACCTTTAAAATAGGGTTATGCTCCTATTGCTAGGCTGGGGAGACTGACTCAGTGTCTCTGAACCAGTATCAGCTGAGTTTTTGGCAGAACCAAAAGAACAATACTAGGTTGGGGATTTAGCTCAGTGGCATAAGCGCCTGCCTGGCAAGCACAAGATTGTGAGTTCAATCCCTGGTACCAAAAAAAAAAAAAAGCAATACTACAAGTCTGCATCTAGAACAAGGAACAGGACAGCTGGATTCTAATTCAGTTGGAGATTTTGGAAACAGTAAATTCCTCAATTCCTGAAGTTCATTTAACCACTAAAATTTCATTAGGTATCTACTGTATTCTAAGAACTGCTAGGTGGTAAGTACAAAAAAGTCATATCTTTGCAGGGTATAGTGGCACATCTCTGTAATCTCAGCACCAAAGGAGGATAAGTCAAACAGATTGCAAGTTTGAGTTCTGCCTGGGCAACTTAGACGCTCTCTCAAAATAAAAAGTAAAATGGGATAGGATTATGTAGTTCAATGGTAGAGTACCCGTGTTCACTTCCCACTACTAAAACAAGCACAAAAACAAAACAAAACAAAACTGGCTCTTTTCTCTTAAGAAAATGACATTTAACAATAAAAGTGAGAGCCAGGCATGGTGGTACATACCTGTAATCCCTGTAATCACAGCACTCGGATCCCAGCACTCAGAAGGCTGAGGCAAAAGGATTCCTGCAAGTTCAAGGCTACCCTGAACTATCTAGCAAGACCCTGTCTCAAAGAAAAAAATGCCATTTTATTATCTCTTCCCTCTCCCTCCCACCATTTCTAGCTTTAAAGCATATTCTATCAGATAGAATAATATCCTGTCATCTCTATAAATGACATTATTCCTTGAAGGTTTAACTCATTGTTCACTATCTAGCACTGGTTCTATTAATATCTTTGTGGTTTCAGTATTAATTTTGATACATCCAGTATCCTGGTCTCTCACTTTCTTGTTCTGTTCTCTTCTAATGATCTTGGCCTCATCACTCTCTCTCTAATGCCCTGTCTCCCTTGCCAAATAATCTGTTTTAAACATCCCATTCTGTAACTACTGTCCCCTGTCTCTCCAGCTGAGTCCTGTTACCCTATTTCTAATGATTGTTCCACCCTCTCAGGATTTAAATACAATTCATTGACCTCCCACTGTTTCCCTAGCCCTCATCCATCTAATAGGTTCAGCTCTCTTTTTTTTTGAGATTCAGTGGTCTCTCAGAATCATTTCTGTGCATACCCATTGAACTCTCCTGTTCTCATCTCCCTATGGTTTATTTATAAGACAAAAGTCTAATGTTGGCTAGATCCAACTTTCTTCCTCTTCCGTGTCTCCATTTAGCCAAAGGAAACACGTAGTTGTATTAATAAATCATATTATGCATGATCACTAACTCAAGTGAAACATAAGTGCCACCTGTTAACCTTGGTGTATTTTTCTTTACCCATCTACTCCCATTCACTCAAAAATTTCTTCACATCAGAATCACCTGGGATCCCTTAGGAATCAGTATTTTTTTAAACTCTCATGATTTCAGAGCACAGACTATTTTGAAACTGAAGGTTATAGGTAATTTTTTTTTTTTTGAGACAGACTCTCACTATTCACTATGCAGTTCAGGCTGGCCTTGAGCTCGCTTTGTGGTGTAGACTGGTCTTGAACTTGTGGCAATCCTCCTGCCTCAGCCTCCCAAATGCTCGTGTTACAGGCATGAATACCATGCCTGGCCAATAGGTAATTTATTTTACATGTTTTCCTTTTTCCTCAAATCTCTAACAAACTTTTCCAGTACTTTGTTAATAATTTGTTTTCTGGAGTGAAAACTCAAAAATAAGGCATTGGAAGAGATCTTTTCCATGTTCCCACCATATCCATCACCTTATCTACATCTGCACCTGTGTGCCTTCACTGTTTGGATGAACCTCTCTAAGGCTAGCTCCTCTACTTGGCTAGTAGATTCCATCCCTTAATACCTATCCAATCGTTGTTTTGTTTGTTTGTTTTTTTTTGGTCTTTTTCGTTTTTATTGGTACCAGGGATCGAACTCTTGACTGCTGGCTTGCAAGGCAGGCGCTTATGCCACTGAGCTAAATCCCCAGCCCCCCCCCCTTTTTTTTTTTCTTTTTTCTTTTTGTTTTTGAGACAGAGTTTTGGTATTATGTGATTCAGGCTGGTCTTGAACTCACTGTGTAGCTCAGGCTGGCCTTGAACTCACTGTGCAGCCCAGGCTGGCATCAGACTTGTGATCCTTCTACCTCAGCCTCCTGAGTGCTGGGATTACAGGTGTGTGTTATATGCCCAGCTTCCTCTTTGTTTTGCATATTCAGTAGTTTCTTTTTCACTGGTTATTTGCAGTGTCATCCTACTTTTAAAAAACTTTTTCTCAGCTGGTCCGAAGGTAGTGAGTTATCTCAGTTGATTGTTCACAGTCAGTACAGATTGAACTCCTTGTTCTACTCTTTTCCCCCTTCTCACTACTGCACTTGACTAGTCTTAAAAAAAAAAACAAAAAACTTTTTCTCTTGATCTCACATTGTCATATACCTACTACCCCGTTTCTCTTCTCCCCTTTATGGCAAACTCTTTTTTTAAAATTTTATTTGTTTGTTTATTTAGGGGGTGGTGTCTTTTTGAGATAGGGTCTTGAAATGCAGTTTAAGCTGGCTCTGAGCTCACTTCGTAGCACAGGCTAGTCTCGAACTTGCAATAGTCCTCCTGCCTCAGCCTCCAGAGTACTGGGATTACAAGTATTCACCACCATGCCTGGCTAGCAAAACTCTTGAAATCAGATTTCTTTCACTCATTCTCTGATAAGCCTATTCTGGAGAGGCTTTTTTCTCCTCCACTCATTGAAATAGCTCAAGTTAACCTTGCAGTAACTTCACATTAATGAGTCCAATCCCCATCATATCTGACCTGTCAGCACCATTCAAAATAGTTTCTTCCTCCTGTTCACTTGATTCTAAGAAAGCATTGCTATCTTGGGTTTCCCCCACCTCACTGTTCCTTCTTTATATTCATGCTGGACCTTTACCTCCTTTCAAACTTCTTAATTTAACAGGGCTCTACTCTCAGATGTTTCCTTTCTGCAGTGGAAGGACTCGCCTTCAGTCTTACACCTGTAAATACCATGTGTGCGTCCATATAATTCCATCTTCAGTTTATATCTGTAGCTCTAATTTTTTTTGGTCTTTTTCCTTTTTATCGGTACCAGGGATCGAACTCATGACTGCCCGCTTGCAAGGCAGGTGCTTATGCCGCTGTAGCTCCAATTTTTATTCATAAATTCAAAACATCTCACAAAAGTTTTGGGTTTTTTTGCTTTTTGTTTTTGAGACAGGGTTTTGGTATTATGTAGTTCAGGCTTTTGTCCTTTTTTGTTTCATTTATTTATTTGAAACAAGATCTCATTGTATCTGGTCTTGAACTTAATATGTAGCCCAGGCTGGCCATAGACTCATTGAGATCCTCCTTCCTCAGCCTCCTGGGTGCTGACATTATAGGCATGCACTATCATGCCCAGCTGACTTGTACTACAGTGTTCAATTTAGAATTAACTAATCCAAAACTGCGCTGCTGATTTCCTGCAAGTGTCTTCCTCATTTATTTGCTTTTGTAATGCTGGCTGCATTTCCAGTCCTGTTCTTCCTCATTTTATTAAGTGATAATTCTTTTCCTCACGTACTCAACTAAAATTCTGATTTTTATTTACCCACAGGCTTTCTTCAATGCCATCATCCCAGATCATCATGCAGAAGCCTTTTCTCCCCCCCGTCTGGCTCCCTCAGGCTGTGTGGATCAGCTTGTGGAAGGTCTGCTGGGTGGCCTCTCTCGCTGGGATGCCGAACACTTCCTGTTCATTGCTGAACATGGCTACCTCTATGAACACAACTTTGCCTTCTTCCCAGGCTTCCCCTTGGCTTTGCTGATAGGGACTGAACTATTGAGACCCTTTCGGGGGCTACTGAGTCAGCGCAGTTGCCTGCTAATTTCAGTAGCATCACTCAACTCCTTATTCTCTGTGCTTGCTGCAGTAGCACTTCATGACCTGAGTTGTCTGGTTTTGCATTGTCCCCGCCAGGCTTTTTATGCAGCACTGCTCTTCTGCCTCAGCCCTGCGAATGTTTTCCTGACAGCTGGTTACTCAGAAGCTTTGTTTACCTTCCTGACATTCAGTGCTATGGGGCAGCTAGAGAGAGGCCGAGGCTGGACTAGTGGGTTCCTCTTTGCTCTTGCCACTGGGGTGCGCTCCAACGGGCTAGTCTGTGTTGGCTTCCTCCTGCATTCTCAGTGCCAAGGCTTTTTTACTTCTCTTGTAGTGTTGAACCCACTGAAACAGTTCTTTAAGCTGGTAGCCTCTGTGTGCCTGTCAGTGCTCACACTCAGCATTCCTTTTGCCCTCTTTCAGTATTATGCATATACCCAGTTCTGTCTGCCAGGCCCAGCCCGCTCCATTCCTGAGCCCTTGGTGCAGTTAGCTGTGGACAGGGGCTATCGGATTGTAGGAGAGAATAAGCCACCATGGTGCTCCTGGGATCTTCCTCTAATATACAGCTATATCCAAGATGTCTACTGGAATGTTGGCTTTCTGAGATACTATGAGCTCAAGCAGGTGCCCAATTTTCTGCTGGCTGCACCAGTGGCTATATTGGTTTTCTGGGCAACTTGGACCTACATGACCACACACCCTTGGCTCTGCCTTACACTTGGTCTTCGAAGGAACAAGAACAGTAAGACCATAGAGAAGTCCAATCCTGGCTTCCTCAGTCCGCAGGTGTTCGTTTACCTGGTCCATGCTGTATTTCTGCTGCTGTTTGGAGGCCTGTGCATGCATGTTCAGGTGAGGCAAATTTCTGCTCTGGGTAAGAATGTGAATATAAGCAAAACTCCCAGGTAGAAGGCAGACTAACTTCTGCCATTTGAGTGACTGATATCTGATCTGTATGTTCAGGAATCATTTGGGGGTTTTCTTTGTGCCAGACCCTGAGTCAGACATCAGGATGGAATACAAGTAAATAAAATTGCTGCCTGAGTTAAGTTTTGTGTTATAAAAAGGGAGACAGACATTGCACAGATAAAATTATAGTGTAGTGAGATGGAATAGGGCTTGCTGTTTTGAGATACAAAATACTTTTTTAAAACTTCAAAATATTGAGGAAAAATAGTGACAGCTAACTTATTGAAGAGTTGAGGAAGGCATCACCATATTGAAGATGCATCCTGAAGAAAAAGAAGTTTTCCATAAAAAGCAAAGGAGAAACATCTAAGGCAAGGAAGGGCATGTGTACAACGCGAAGGTTGTGAAAGGACATGATTCAACTGAGATAAAGGAATAAACATGGAGGATGTCTTGGGTACCTTCCCCCCATGTACACCGAATGTTAGCTTCTAGAAATAAGTCTGAGCCCAGGCAGATGCTGTTTTCAGAAGATATATCTTATCTGTTGCAGGGTGGTGGTGACAATACAGAAGTATTAGGAGGGGGTTGATTTTATGTCCCATTTTTGTTCTTGGCTGTGGCCGGCCCTAGTTTCAGCATTTCCTGGGAAGTACTGTCTCTAGGATGAACTCTCCCCTAGCAGCGTCTGTATCTTGAAGGCATGTGTTGGCTATTTGCAAGATTCTCTTAAGCTGTGAGGATAGTAGATACAGGGGAAAGAAAGTAGCATTATGTGTTTGTGACTGGATTGGCTGGTAGAGTGGCATCTCAGCCAAGCTCAGTTTCCAGGGCAAGTGGAGGAGGCCACTTGAAGACTTGGCTCTAAAATCCTGGAAGAGTAGAAAGTTGAACACAGGATCTCCAGCCTGTTTCCCTGTGTTTTGTGATTCCTGTGAGGTAAGGGAGCTTCCTTAATTGCCCAAACCTTGGGTCATAGCCCAGAGTTTAGAGTCCAGGTCTTGGTTAAAATTAGATCACATAGAGTTGTTTTTTTTTTTTTTAAATTGAATGAGAGATCGAACTCACGACCATGTGCTTGCAAGGTAGGAACTTAAGCCGTTGAGCTGAATCCCCAGCCCTACATAGAGTTTTTAACATTGATTATCCCGTTATTGTAAATAGTCTGATCCTGTATTTGTAAGATACATCCTCAACTTTGCTGAATTGTGTTTTTTTGTTTTTGTTTTTTGGGTTTTTTTGGTACTGGGGATTGAGCTCACAACCTTGCATGTTGCCAGGTAGGCGCTGTGCCCCTGAGGTATGTCCTTGACTGAATATTTTTTGTTTTGTTTTTCGTACCAGGGATTGAATTCACAACCTTGAGCTTACTAAGCAAGCACTTAAACCACGGAACTAAATCCCCAGCATCCTTGACTGAATTGTCTGTTTGTTTCTCTCTTTCTTTCTTTCTTCCTTCCTTCCTTCTTTCCTTTTTTTTTTTTTTTTTTTTTTTTTAAATACTGTCTCCCCAAGTAGTACAGGCTGCCCTTGAACTCATTTATGTAGCCTAGTCTAATCTTGAAGTCATAAGGATCCTCTTACCTCAGCCTTCCAAGTATTGGGATTACAGGCATACCCCACCATACCCACTTTGTTGAATTGGTTTTCCAATGCAATGTGATTCTAGTCATTGAACCATAGTTCACCCAGGAGCAAAGAACCCCAGGCTGATCCATGTTGCATCAGGGACCTTCCATAAATGTGTGGCCTTTCCCTCTTATCATTTCTAGGTTCTCACCAGGTTTTTAGCTTCCTCCACTCCTGTTGTATACTGGTTTCCGGCTTACTTACTTCAGGATCAAGAGCTACTGTTGAGATCCCTAGGGACAATGCCTTGGAAACCTCTTGTGGAAGACTCCCCATCAAGACAAAAGGTTCCCAGAAATTCTATCATGGGACTTTTGTACAATTGGAAAACCTGTTCTCCAGTCACACGATACATTCTAGGCTACTTCCTGACTTACTGGCTCCTGGGACTACTACTACATTGCAACTTCCTGCCTTGGACATGACCTGGAGTCTTCAGGGACAGGCTGGAAGCTGGAAGCTGACTTAACCCAAGATCTGAAGGTTAAAAGACATATTAATGCTACCCAAGCTGCTCTAGAATCATTGTTTTGTCAATTAGAACCCTTTTAAATCACCATCTTTTTTTTTTTTTTTTTTTAAACAGGGTCTCAATATATAGCTCAGGCTGGCCTTGAATTCATTGTGTAGTCCAGGCTGGCCTCAAACTCATGACAGTCCTCCTACCTCAGCCTCCTACGTATTGCGATTACAGGTATATGCCACTGTGCCTGCCTTCAAAAAATTTATTATTTTAAAAATTGTATGGCCATGGACCAAGAAAAGAACCAGGAAGTCATCCTGCCTTTCCCATGTGTAAGCCAGTACATGGGCTGGGAGACAAGAAGATATACCCTGCCACCCCCACTCCTCCCTACCCTTCATGTAGGCAACCAGCTGATTTGGAGGAACACGGGCTAGGATCATAGCAACTGAGGTACAAAAACAACTTAATGCTTATATCGATTGATTGACTTTGCAGTCTTAGGGTCAGTAGTCTGAGCATCTGTTTAGAGGATAACAGTATGCAATATAGCAACTATGGGAGATTTCTTTGTCTTGTTTTTAAAATCCAATATTCTCACTGTTTTGTTCCATTTTATTGTTTGTTTTATCCCTTTAAAATAAAATTACATTGGCACATTTTAGATATACATAATGATAACATTCTTATAGGGAATTTGTACCCGTGTATGGTATATCTTGCTTTTTACCCCCATTCTCCTCCCTTCCCTGTAATCCCTCTTCTCTCCTTATTTACAACAGTTTTGTTTCCATTTTTTCCTTTCAGAGGTAATGCGGAATCTCAGGGTTACTTTAATTTGCATTTCTCTAGTGACCAGCAATACTGAGCATATTTGTATATACTATTGGCCATGTGTAGGGACTGTACTTTAGTAGGACACCCAACTCAGCAGACCTCAGAGCTCTTGCAGAAGGTCCTTTTGTCTTGACCCACAGGGGCCTATTCTGTACCCCAGGGATCCAGTCTGTTGGGAGTGTAGCTTAGTGTGAAGGCCCTGGATTTAATCCCTAGTAGCATAAAAAACAAAACTGTGGCAAGAGCCCTGGATTCTGGTTCCCTCAATACAACCCCAGATCTGTGACCTTGGGCAAGTTTCAGAACCTTTGTTATAGCCTCTGAACTAGGGGAGATGCTTTGATGTCATTTCTAGGGGAGGAGAAGGTTGTAAGCTTCAAGGTCTTTTTATTTTAGTTTAGTTTTTATATACTTCCGTAAGGGACCAGCACTAAGATTTTGAGAAGTGCCCTAAACAACAGAATCACTCGAATCTAACAACTTATGTGGATGCTCAAACATAATTTTAGAAGAAAGTATCTCCATTTCTTTTGCTTTCAGCTTTTAGAAGAAACTACTCCACTCCTGGGTGCAACTCTGAGAAGTAACTGCAGTGATCTTTTCTTTGAACAAGGGAGAACAGTGACACTTGCCACATAAAGCTCCTTGTTGTGCATAAACTGACCGGCAGTGACTAGTTTTTTTGCCATTCCCAAGTAACTATTCTTGCTTGCTTGGTAGACTTGGATTAGAGAAGCCAACCCAGCAGCTTGAAAGAGTAAACTGTAGGTAAGTCTGAGTCTGAAATGATATTTCCCCTGCTTTTAGTTATGTCATATCACTAATGGTAGTAAAATCACTGACCCTGGAGAGCAGTTTTTGCCCATTCCTTGAGCCAGGTTAGAGTTTGGCTCTATATCATCATCCCTCTTACTGACCATTTGAGCCAAAAATTCCAGTAAGCAAAAACTCCAAACAGATGGGTAATCAACAGCAGCTTCTGGAGAGCCCTGAGTTGGAATTTGGACACACTCCCTCTGACCATGACAGAAAGCTAAATTTGCCAGCTGAAGGGAAGCTCCTGGCTGAGGCCCAGCACCCTCTGTGGAGCCTCTGGCCAGCCTGGCCAATAAGCATTCCCACCCATCATCGCAGCACTAACACAGCCTAGTGTTTGGTCTGGAATCAAATGCTTCTGAAAATGTACACAGATCAGGGCAGTCCTCTGCCTTCTGCCAAGACACCGAGTGCCCTCCTTGGCAAATGATGATCACCCCTGCCCTAGTGTCCTTCCAGCTGGCAGAAACTTCTCACCAGCAGCTGCAAATCCAGGGACTTCCACCCTGTGTGCAGGAGGAGTTAGGGTCCTGTTTCAACTCTTTATTGCCCAGCTCAGAGCACTAGGTCTTTTACTCCTGGCTTTTCTTTGCCTTTTAGAGGATAATCAGGATTGATTTTCCCTGCTGGAGTTGAATATGTGACTCCAGCTCCAGTTGTCTCAGAGTAACTGTCACACTGGATCTCATCACTGCCAAAAACCATATGCCTGAAGACCCTGAGTAGGTACACACACTTGGTACGACCTGGACTCCCTGACCTTGGAGAGAGGTCTGATTGCTGTTCTGTAAGGATCTAAGGAATGGGCTGGTTTTATGGCCAGCAGCTGTGCTTTTACCATCCTATTAACAGTCTTTAATAGTCTGGAAGAAGGACATGAAGAGCCCAAGACAGGAAGCTTCTTGTTTACCCTGAGGACTAACAATACCACAGCTGGGTTGGGCGTCTACAATTTCAGAGAAAAGTCATTTCCTTCTGAGACCCTGCTAAAACAGAAACCAGACAAGCTTCATGTACCTAGAAGTAGATGCTTGTTTTGTTCTTTAATGAAGATGGGAGGAGAGGGAGGGTTTGGCATGTCTTTACGAGTCGCCCTAGGAGAAAAGAGGTCACTTTTTTTTTAACAGACCCTCTTACCTTCATCTAAAAGTATAACATATACAGGATTAAGAAATTGGAATTGAATAATTCTTAACAGTGTTCTCTTTCCCTTTCTCTCTGTCTTTCATCCTAGGGATTGAACTCAGGGCCTTCACATCTTAGGCAAGTACTATACCACGGGATTATACCTTCAGCTCTTTTTTTTTGAAGTTGTCCAGTCTAGCCTCAAATTTTTTTTTTAATTTGTCTTTTTATCGGTACCGGGGATCAAACTCATGACTGCCTGCTTGCAAGGCAGGCACTTATGCCACTGAGCTAAATCCACAGCCCCCGACTAGCCTCAAATTTAACAACCTTCTTGCCTTTCAAATAAATGGTGTGTGCCATGACATCCAGCAGTTTGAACTCTGTGTGTTGGGCTAGGGGTTTAGCTCAGCGGCATAAGCACCTGCCTTGCAAGCAGGCGGTCGTGAGTTCAATCCCCGGTACCGATAAAAATGAAAAAGACCAAAAAAAAAAAAAAAAAAAAAAAAAAGAACTCTGTGTGTTTATATGTGTGTGTGCGCACATATGCACACATATGCACATGCTTTCACAGTGATATATATTCCTATTCCCAGCCTGTTTTTCTGTTTGTTCATTTATTTTTTGGTTTTTTGATATCAGGAATTGAACTCAGGACCTTGCACTTGCCAGGCAGGTGCTATGCTGCTGAGGTATATCCCTGGCCCTTTTAAAAAATTTTTATTTTACTTATTTTATTTTTGATCAAGGTTTCACTATGTGTTCAGGCTGGGCTTGAACTCACAGCAGTCTTTCTGCCTCAGCTTCCCAAGTCTAGGATTATAAGTGTGTACCACCATGCCTGGCTAATTTTTTTTTTTATTTTAAAGATAATAAAATCCAACAAAACAGAACAAAGCCAATCAAAACAAAGCAGCAAAATTGATACAGAACTTCAAAGCAGGATACTACGAAAACAACAATAGCTAACGTATCTTTTTTTTTTTTTTTTTATCAGTACTGGGGATTGAACTCACGACCATGTGCTTGCAAGGCAGGCGCTTATGCCACTGAGCTAAATACCCAGCCTCTAATGATATATCTTGTTATCTTCACAATAGTTGTCCATCCCATTAGGTTTAGCAAAATCAAATAAAAAACAAAACAGAATAAAACCAATCAAAGCAGAATATTAAATAAAGCAAGACAATTAGAGAACAAAGCAAAACAGAACAATATTGGACTTCAAAGATAAGATAGAAGGAGATCCCTCGTATTTGCAGTATTGCATAGTACCATCCTCCCAAGAGATGCTCAGACCACTGATCCCAGGTCTGCATAATGAAACCAAACAATACAAGCATTTAGTTGATTTATGTACCTTAGTTGCTATCAACTCAGCCTGTCCCCCAAACCCACTGGTTGCATAGGGGGTTATTGTTTTATTCTGAGACAGTCTCAGTCATTAAGTTGCCCAAGTTGGGCTGAAGTTTGATCTTCCCAACTCAGCCTTCTGAGTACTTGGATTACAGTTGCATGTCATTATGCCTGGCCTTAAACTTTTTATGATGAAAATGAATTAAAATTTTAATTATACACTTAGGAAAAAGAGCAAATACTCTATAAATTCATGCAAAATAGATTGCTTCTCATTTGGAGTACCTGAAAAGACTTCGTGGAGAAATAAATGGCAGTTGAACTGTCTTTGAAAGATGGGTAGGATTTGAAAGTTAAAAGTAGAGAATAAGCATAAAAGGCAGGCTGTGGAACAGGAACCAAGAGACCAGTTTGAATAGAAATGAAGTATTGTTGAGATCTGAAGGCTCTCAGGCTTTGAAATCCCCAATCCCAGCCCTACTGTGTTCTAGATATGTAAATTTGAGTCAGATGCTGAGTCTGGCCTTCCATATCTACAAGTTCCACATCTGTAAATTCACCTTAGAGTTGAAAATATTTGAAAAAAATAATTGTATTTCTTGTCATTATTCCCTAAACGATATCTCATATAATAACTATTTACATGGCATTTTTATCATATTAGGTATTACGGGTAATTTAAAGGTGATTTAAAGTATATGGGATGAGGCCAGGGGCACAAAGGCCTACCTGAAAAGTGTGAGGTTGTGAGTTCAATCCGTGGTACCAGAAAACATAATAAATGAAGTATATGGGATGAAGTACTTAGATTATATGCAAAAACTCATACTAGGATTTTATATAAGAGACTTGTGCATCCATGTATTTTTGATTACTTCAAGAGTCCTGGAACCAGTCTCTGTACCTATCTAATAACAACTGCACTATGCATCCCACAGATGTAAATAACGTCTCAGAGGATCATTGTAGAAATTAAGTTTCACTACATTAAAAGTGTTTAGCTACTTGGGAAACTGAGGCAGGAGAATCACAAGTATGCAGCCAGTCTGGGTGACTTAGTGAGGGGCCAGAGATATAGCTAGCTCAGTGGCATAAACACCTGGCTGGATGACTTAGTGAAACCCTCTCTCAAAATAATAAAAAGGGTTGGTGATATAGATCAGTATTCCCTGGGTTCAATCCACAGTACCACCGGAAAAAAAAAAAAAAGTGTAACAGTGATAACAAAGGAATAGATGCAATTTAGACATTCTGGGTTTACCATGAGTACATTTATATGCCAGGAAGAGTGGGCCTGGACACAAGAAAAGGGGTTAGGGAACCATCCACCCATAGGGTTGTTAAAGCAGCCACACCATAGGATTGGAGAACCAAAAGAAAACTTGTAGAGGAGAGAGAAATGGGTTGTGTGCAGGGCATAATTGTGCAAGCTTGTAATCTCAGCATTGTGAAGGCTGAGGGGGGAGGACTGCCACAAATTTGAGGCCAGCCTTGACTACATAGTGAAATCTTGTCTTAAAAAAAAAAAAAAAGGATCTGGG